TGATGCCTACCTGGCTGGGGTCATTTGAGCCCAGTTTTCCTCCTGCCCAGGCAGGGGGTCAGCCTTGAAGATCAAGGTCCCTTCTGACCCTACTTCTATGATTCTATGTGGCTATAAACATAAGGGGCTTGGTTTGCCATGCTGAGTTCTAAACTTCCCCATCTGAGGTTAGACCAACTGCCTGCTCTTATCTTTACTGTATGCTCCTGGAATGAAGAGAAGTTTCAGACTTGGGCCCCTGGCAGATATGCAAGTAAAGGCACCATGGGATCTAATGTGCAATCTCCACAATGGCATTTCCTGCCAGACCACATGTGCATGGCAGGAGGTGTGACTGGGATTGAGTATACAGTCCCAACATGCCTTATTGCCAGTACAGGGGGAGCCCAGGATCATGATTCTGAGCTTCCCCTGCACTGGCAAGTAGCAAGCTCCTATGGCAGGGAGCCCATGCCAGAAGCCCCATCAGCTGATCTGGTGTCCCAACTGCGAAGGTGCACCACACACCCCTGTGGCTGGGATCCCCATCAGCTGACAGTGTCTAGCCTTGGTGGTAGCTGGGAGCCCAGATCAGCTGATGGGACTCGCAGCCACGGGGAAGCACCCAGGGCTAGGAGCCCCAGCCTAACCACATGTTCAATTAATGCTGTAATAGGAACCAGTCACAAAGTTATTAGAATATTTTTTGTGTAATAACTTTGTGGCTTATTTCTTGTTTTATCAAGCTATTCATTGCATTAACATGTGGCTGGGTAACAACATTAAGACATGATTAACTTTAACGTATGCCAGGGGTCTTGGTGCCAGGGGTCTGCTTCTGCTGTATCAGTGGCAGCACATGTGTAGCCCCTGTTTTCTACAAATGAAATTGCTGTTACTACATTGAAACACATCTGTACTTTCTAAGGCTGGATGAACTGACTACTTTTTGCAAGAAACTCAAGCCTGCTTTGGTCTCAGTAGCATTTCTGTCAGCTTGCATTATCTATACCACCCATCATACCATTCAGCAGTCTCAAAAGTGTTGTTCTAGGCCAATATTTGCCTCCTTATAACATGTGTGTTGCTGTATCTTTGCCTTTATCACAATAAATGCTGATCACAGAACTAAATGTCTTGGGCTAAAAACAACCTTATCTGATGGAAAAGATTTCTGTTCTAATTTTTTTGTGTCCTGTATGGCAGGTCAGATTTTTAAAGGGATCAAGGCATTGCTTGGCTTAATCATTTGATTTGTTGCTGTTTTCTTGCTACAGAATTAACCATTACACCACTTTCCCATTCATTTCTCAAAAGGTCTGCTCTTAATTGCTGTCTACCTTCTGAGAAGGCAGTTAAAAAAATGTTACTACTAACATGTGGTGACCTGAATTTGTATGAACTTAGAATACCCTTAAATGCCAGATAAGCAGCAGCTAGCTCAGACCTCACAGCGTTTGTTTAAATTCTTCTGGAGGCCTTAAAAGATGTGGAATAAAGTAATGTTGATCACTGAAGTGGAAAACTCATGCTTCAGTTAAGAGACAGAGCTCTTCCCCCTCCCCATCCCAAAAGACTCACACCCACAAAATAAACACACATGCTTGGCAATTTGCAAATGTAACCCTTCAGATGGCAACAGAACAGAAAATGGGCTCAGTGCTAACAATTTATTAGTAGCTACAGTTAATGAATTGAATTATTTCAACAGGTGCTAGTGGACTGTCATAATTCCTTGTATTGCTCCATGAGTTGGCTCATAATGAAGCTGCACAACAATAACTAAGAAGGTATTTGAGTTGGTGTACTTTAAAAAAATCCAGTATTTTAGTCAGCCTGGGCTGAAACATATGCCCACAGTTTTCTACCCACAGGCCCCATTGCTAGGACCCAAAAGATATTTAGGAACCTAATTCCCAAATCTACTCCATGCTGCTGGATTTATTCCTCTTTTCCTGCACCCTCAATAGATGTCTAGGCTGTCTCTTGCAAACAAGAGACAGTAAAGGCAGCTGGAATCAAGGAGAAGCCTGTCTAGCTGTCTACTAGAAGCTGCTATTTTAGAAGAGCAGAAAACAGAATGGATGGCTTCAGGGATTAGATGGCTGCCAGTGAGACTGGGTAAGCAAATCACTAGCTATAGGGAACTAGCTAAAGGAGAAGGAAATGTGGCATTGACCAGTACAGTGCAGGATGTCAAGTCAGTGTAGGAGGAAAGGAGAAATCAGGCAATAGAATACAAATTAATGGGCACTGTTATGGTAGAACAATGTTCTTATGATAGACCATGATTCAGGAAAACGTTATTACACAGGAGAGCTCTTAAATGAGTGCTTAACTTCAGATCTCTTGACTAAAGATTGACTTGTGCACATGCTTATGTACATTCCTGAATAAGAACATATTCCAATGGTAAGCATGTTATTATTAAAAAAAAGTCTTCAGCCATAGGTAGAAAACAAGCATAAAACCAAGGTCTATCAGATAAAGCTAAGAGCATGTTTGCTTTTAGGTACAATTGCTCCTATTTTTTTTTTTTTAAAGAAGACATTGGTTTGCTGGAGCTAGTGGAAAGCTTCTCTGGACTAGGGGTGTCAAAAGTATGGCTTGTGGGCTGGATCCAGTCTGGCCTATGGTGCTGTCTCCTGCAATGCAGCATATGCTGGAACCAGTACATGCAGCACGCAGAGTCTGTCTAGCATAGGTTGTACATGGCATGGGGATGGTTTGGGGTGCCTGTGCTGGATTGGCTCTGCACTGTGGATCTGGCCTCAAACATGGGCTGTCTGTACCAGATCCAGCACATAGGGCTGCTCCAGTATAGGCACCATGTGCAACACATGTCTCAGACTGGCACTGCCCCCCTTCTCCAATTCAGTAGGCTGGATGAGTTTGACACCCATGCTCTAGAATAACTGTCCTCCTAATTTGCCAATCCCAGAGGCTCCTGAAGTTGCAACAGGAGATGGACCTTCTTAGCAATATGATGGTGCTGTGAAGGGGCAGGGGCAGAGTCCTTTAATGTATCTCCATTAATATTTTCCAGGAAATCTGTCACCATTGCCTTCATCAGTGACAATACGATGGGGAAAGCTTTCCCAGACAATGCTAGGGAGATAAAGTCTGGTCTAGCTGGATTTTTAATAGATCAGGAAGAGTAGGATTTATTTATGTTCATAATCCAACCAAACTGCAACCACAATCCAAGCTCCAACCAGCCACAGGAAGTCAGAATTACTGATATCTTTCCTGACCCCCCCCGCAACAACTTTTCAGAAACCTCCTTCAATCAGTTTTTGTAGAACAGCACCAGGCTTAGATATATCCTGCTAGCAAATTAATAAATCCCAAAACAGCAGAAATCCACCCACACTTTAGACAGGTAACTAGTACTTATGAAGCTAAAGTTAGCCATGTAAGTGGCATTTGGGGACACGTATGCAGATTTTAGATCCTACTATCCTTTGTGCCCTTTTGTGTATGCTGAGAAGGGATCTGCTTTAGCCACTTAAGCTCTGCTTGTGATTCTGTTCCACCCAGAAAAGCACATAATCTCCATGTAAGATCTTGAAATAATAGTTGCAGGAACCCACACCCTTTCCCCTATACCTCCCAAGAGGTTGCTGGTTGTAAGTGCTTGTGTGGAAGTGAAGGCATTGATTTCTGAGCGCTTCCAGGCTTATGTCTCAGATCACAGGGATGTGCCATTTTAAATAGACGTTAAAGGGCTTACAGTGGTTGCTGTGTGGCCTGTGCCTCAGCATCGTGGCCAGTATCAGGTTCAGAAGCCAGGGGTCATCCAGTTGGTATCTGCAGGAGTCAAGGGCATGATGCTAGAACTAATTTCTCTAAGGGAGAAATCGTAACAATAAACATGTCTGTCAGCCAACTAACAGATATCTGGCTATTAACCTTGATCCAGGTGAAAAGGGGGCTCAGGTGATGTTATGGGAGGATGAGAGCAGGGAAGAAAGGACATGAAAAAGAGAAAGATGCTTCTGTGGGCACAGGTGAAAATGGCCTTGCAGGGATTAGTGATGAAGGGGTGAGGGAGAGGTTTAGGTATTCCCAGATCCTGGGATATTTGCAGGTAGTTGGCAACACTCTCATGGCCACAGTCATTAGTGAGAAGGAGCTGCGTACCACAATGGCATGACTGAGGCCAGGCAGGAGACTCAGTAGAATGGGAAGATCTTATTTTAATTATTTCCACTTTGTGTCATGGCAAAGATCTAACTGGAAACCGAAGGGGGACTGAACTGACACCCATGAGCACAAGGGGACTTGTGTCAAGCGCTGTCATGTACCAGAGATGGTGCGAGCTTTTTAAGAGCTGATTTTGGTATAATGCTTCCACCCATTTATATCTTTGTTCAACAAATTACTTATCATACTTAAAAAAAAAATCTTCTGAAGCAATCTGTGTCTCACCTGGGTTAATGGGAGGGAAACAAAGCAAAAACACAGACTCCTAAGTAGTGCAAAACACAGATGTTATTATTCTTGGATTCTTAAATTGTTAACATTCTGGCTTTGCAGGATCTGTTCCGACATCCTGTTCACACAAAGCAGAAGTCACACCTGCTTTGGTTAGAGGAATTTCAATGTTGCCACTTTCCAAACGAAAGTCCAGAGCTCTGGCACAGGCATTATTAGCTCCAAATGCTTCTGAATAGGTTTCCTTTTAGGAGTTCAAAAGTGCAGCTTTCTTGCAATTCAAGCTGTCCCCAGGCTTATCCTGAATACTTGAATACCTGATAGGAAACAAGCTGCCTTTGTAAACTGTCTCTTGGACTGGTCTGAAAAAGGTGTCTTAGGCACTGGCAACATGTCTGACATGTTGGTGTTGCCTTTTCTCTGATGCAGCATCTTCCACAGAGCTGGAACACAATGAAGTCCCCTGGAAATCAACTCTATGAGCCACAACGCAGACATCTTTCCATTGTTTAATTGCTTCCCTCTGCTCCTCAGGGGTCAGTCTGTCAAGGTGCTTGGCTCTCAGTATCGGAGAAGGAAACAATGTCCCTTGGAGAACTCTGAACAAATACCTAGAATATAACCAGTGTTTCACATAAGTCCTTCAGAAGCAGATTTAAATTGTTTTCAGCACTACTTAAAAGGTTTGAACAGCAGCATTTGGAGACAGGAGAGGGGGCATTCTGCTTTGTACTGAGTATGCAATATTCCTGCAATCTCAAGGCTGCAGTAGCTCAGAAAACAAGGAAGTCTATCTCTGATGGTATACTTTTGCCCACAAATAATGATGACTGCAATTTTGCATCAGAACAAGTTAGGGTAACAGTTTCCAAAGTGGCTGGAGCTTGACATAGAGGTCGTGGAATCTCCTGGAGAGGTTGTGGAGTCTCCACCCTTGGAGGTTTTTAAGACCCGGCTACACAAAGCCTTGGTTGGAATGATCTAGTTGGGGATGGTCCTGCTTTGAGCAGGGGGTTGGACTAGATGACCTCCTGAGATCCAACCCTAATTTTCTATTATTCTATTGTGGAAAATCAGACCTAATATGTACAAACACTCTGTTCTTCAATGGAAAACACTCATGATGAAGCTGCACAATAACTAGAAAGGTATTTGGGACACCAGCAAGAGTAGTCAAAATATCTTTTAAATTCTCTTTGTTGCATGTGTCATGGTCCTTAGAAGAGTAAATAAGCGTGGTATTGAAGGTTAAGCAATCCAGAGGTTTAGAGGCACACTCCAAAGCCAAAGCATTACTCTGGAACAGAACTTGGCATTAATATATTTTTTAAATTGGCCTTGTTGAAGGTTTAGCCTGGGTAATGTTTTCAATCAGGGATTGTGGTAAAGATTTTCAAAGGGCTCTAATGGAACTGGACACTGGACTGCCAGTGATGTTCTGTAGAAGATGGGTACTCAACTACCTGCAACCCTTTTGAGAATCTTATTGTCTACCTAATTCTTCAAAATGATGAACATGGTTTAAAGTCACAGAGAGTGATGGATTTCAGGCCCCTTGTAGGATTTGATAAGAATAAGCAAGAAAAAAGTATATGTAACAGTTATCCCATGATGTAAACAGACATAATTCTACTTAATCACTTAACTAAGCAAACAAAAGGGTCTGTATTAGGCAGAGCTGATGTAACTCTTGTGGGGTGTTGGCACTGGGAGACTCAAACGCACTCAAAGAACCTCATTTATACATCTAAACGCTTTGCATTTAATTTACTGTGAAAAATACACTCCTAAAAGTGGAATATGTATGTGTTTGAAATAGTCAGTGAGTTGAAAGCATTCTTCTTCCCAGGCTCTTGCAATTACATAAAGAGTCTTTTTTTTAATTAAAAAAACCCAAAAAACTGAGGACTGAAACAGAATCACTCAGAAGCAAACACAGCACAGGGGTATGGAAACTTCTTACACATCTCATTTTCAGGCCTATATCTCCCTCTGCCAATTTAGCTGCAAAACCTGAGTCAAAGTTGGCAGTCATGGGCTATTATGCATATAAAAAAATCAGGCTGATAAGGTTGTGTTCTGAGGTTCAATGAGTGAGACTCTCAAGGGGGTGCTCAACTGCCATTTAAAATCTAGATTACGTGCGACTAAGTCTAAAATTTAGATCTTCAAAACTCCAACCTAATTCTCAAAGCACCCTAATTTCCCAGGTGCTCATTTCTATCAGTAAAGTGCCAGAGGAGACTAATTCGGAGCTCTGAAAAGTGTAAAATAGCTTCTGGTTTAAACTTGAAGGGCAGGATTAAGACTGTAGCCTGTTATGGAAATCTTGTATTTGCATACATCTACCTAGATCCCTGGCACATCTTCACTTAAAGCCACCATGGGATCTGGTTCCCAATCCCAACAATTGTGTCTCCTGCCTACATGGGAGGAGATGTGATTTTGGGATCACAGATCAGATACCAATATAGCCCTTTCTAGGTGCCAGTGCAGGGGAATCCTGGGATCATGATCTTGTGTTCCCCCTGCACTAGCAAATTGAAGATTGAATGTCCACAACCCAATGTGGCCAACAAACCAGGTACTGATTGTTGGCTCCAGCCCTGGGGCAGTTCTTAAAGTGCCACACATTTCATCTAAGGTGCCATATGAACCAGCCATAAAAAATGTTCTACATTGTATGTGAAACATCTATTTGGCTGGTTTGCATTCTTATGGACCCTTAAATTGGGTGTACATTTTAATGTATGCCTTGCCATTTAGACCATGATTAACATGATTAATCATGGCCCAAGTGTAACATCTAGAGGGGCCCCTAGTACAGTGACTCCTATTTTTTCATAAATAAGCTGTACAATTTTCTTTATACTTTTAGTTCTTTTATAAGCTCTTCCACAAAGCCAGATTGATTTATAGGTAGAAACATATTAAATTTGAGGTGGCTGTCTGCTGATTTCACAGGCTGAATATAGGACCCAGCAGCTATTTTGTGGGTGGGGTGCAGCAGCCCCCCCCCCCCCCCCCCACCCCGACGCGCCGGCCCTGCCGCGCGCCCCCCC